GTTTTCAAGTGTAGGGCCCCTATAGAGAGATCCCAAGACATCTAAGTATTCCTCAACAATTACAGCATCCAAAACAGTGCTTCAAACACTATTTAAGTACTTTACATAAATCAAAGTGTATGCCTATGTTTGTCATTGCAATAAAACTACAAATGAAGTAGACACTCTAATCACCTCAATTTTACAAATGAGGAAAATAAATGCTAAGTAATATGCCCGGGGCCCACAATATAGCTCAGAGGCATTAAGTGCCTGCCTAGAAAACAAAAAGTCCCAAGTTTAATCTTCAGTAATGGGAAAAAAATTTTAATAAATAAATAAATAATAATGTGCCCAGTATCAAAGCTTGTTAAGGACTGGCCACCAGATTCAAACCTATATACAAGTCCCTAAGTGAATTTCAGAAGTTTAAAATTTCACTGTAGGGGCCGGGGAGATAGCTCAGTAGATAAGCACTTGCCTGGTAAGTACAAGGGCCTGAGTTCAATCCCTGGTTCCACAAAGGAAAAAAAAGAGAGAGAATAAAATTTCACTGTAAACTATCACATTTTTTTGCCAATAAACTAGATTTTTTTCAGAGTAGCAGATATGATGGATTGAGAGGACATTCCCATTACAAAATCTATAATTTTTTTTTTAATTTATTTATTTATGTGTGTGTGTGTGTGTGGCCAGCTCAGCCCACCAGGGGGCAGGGTTGGCTGGCATGTGGTGCTGGGGGATCGAACTGTGATCTCTGTGCTTTGCTAAGCTTGTTCCAAGTAGGTGCTTTAGACCACTGAGCCATCTCTCCAGCCCCCAAAATCTATAATTTCTACCCCAAGATGAATACTTACTATACAAATACTAGGGTTTGAAAAGACCATACGGGGGTGGTTTGGTTCCCTGACCTGCGGTGCCAGCCCCACTCCCAGGATGATTGAGACCGGCTGTGGTGGCATGAGCCTGCAATCCCAACTCTTGGGTTTTTTTTTTCCCCTTTTGCAGAACTGGGGATTGAACTCAGAACACTGCGCTTGCCAGGCAAGTGCTTATCCCACTGAGCCATCTCCCTGGCCCCAATCCCAGCTCTTGGGAGGCTGTAAACAGGCAGATCACTATGAGTCCGATTTAGTAGTGAGACCTGAACACCCTGTAGACCCTTCCCTAAAATAAAAAAAAAAAAAAAAAAAAAAATGCAACCTCTAAATTTACTTACAGCTCATCCTTCTGTAAAATGGCTATTTTTGCAAAAGTTGTAAAATGGAATAAGGATTTTTTTGTTGTTGTTGTTCCTCGAATGCCTTCAGGGCACTTTTGGACTTTGGGAGAGTTGTGAGGTTCGAACTCCAGCAACCTGAGGCTGACAGCTTTGTGGAAGCAGCCACTTAAAGGCCTGAGCTAGGGCCAGGACCCCTTTATAAGGTTTTTTTTTTTGCTCCGAATGCCCTCAGGGGTGGTTTGGCTGGCTTGAGTGTTGTGGGGATCGAACTACAGCAACCTGAGGCTGACAGCTTTGTGGAAGCAGCCACTTAAACAACTGAGCTAAGTCCACGCCCCAAAAGTTGTAAAATGAAAGAAAAAAAAAAAAAAAACAAAAGTTGTAAAATGTAATACAATGTACAGCCAAAAATATTCCTATAATGTGTATGTATATTCAACCATACTTCCTAACAGTATGAACCTGAGGCCACTGCTCTAGACTGCACCCCAAGGGAATCCACTTCAGGGCTTGAGCTCCTTCCTTGGTTCTCTCTCCCTAACACAACAGTTAAAAACAAAAAAGCCAGACATAGATAGTGGCACACACCTGTAATCCCAGCACTTGGGAGGCTGAGGCAGGGGGATTCATTTTGAGCTTGAGACCAGCCTGAAGTACATAGCAAGACCCTGTCTCAAACACACACACACACACACACACACACACACACACACACACACACACAAATTTACAATCAAAACTATAGATTTTAGGGCTGGTGAGATGGCTCGTTGGTCTAAAGCACCTACTTAGAACAAACTAAGCTAAGCTAAGCAAAGCAAAGCGCAGGGACCGCGGTTCAATCCCCCAGCACCACATACCAGCCAGCCCCGCCCCCTGGTGGGCTGAGCTGGCCACACACACACACACACACACACACACAATAAATAAATAAATAATTTTTAAAAACTATAGATTTTAAAAATAGAAGCTGGAGGGCCAGGGAGATGGCTCAGTAGAATAGAACTGGGCCTGAGTTCAATCCCCAGTTCCACCAAAAAAAAAAAAAAAAGCTAGATATGGTAATGCATGCCTGCAAGCCCAGCATTTCTGAGGCTGATGCAGGAGGATAGTCTTAAATAAGAGGCCCAACCTAAGCTACATGACTTCAAGGACAAATTTAATGATACAGCAAGACCCTACTTCAAAAAAAAAAAAAAAAAAAGAAAGAAAATGAAAAAAGATAAGGCACTAGGTAGCTTCTAGAGTACAGCAGATGGTCGGTATGGAACCTAAATATATCACAAGGACTTTCATGGAACAAAAAAAAAATCTCAGTACCATTTCATTTTGTGTGTGGTAGGGACAGGAGTACCAGGGATTAAATCCAGGGCTATGTTCCGAACCCCTTTTTTGAGACAGGGTCTTGTTACTAAATAGCTCAGGCTGAGTTTGCAATTATGATCCTCCTGCCTTATTCACAGAGTGATGGGATGACAGGCCTGTACTATCAATGCCCTGCTTTCCAATGTAATTCATTACATTCTTTCAGATTAAAATACAAATATGAGGGCTGGGAGATGGCTCAGTGGAATAAGTGCTTCCTTGGCAAGTGCAAGGGCCTGAGTTCAATCCCCGGTTCCGGGAAAAAAAAAAAAAAAATACAAATATGTACAGTAAGAGCACAGTTTTGGAATTTAAGACAGTATTCCCTTAGGAAAAAAGCCAATACAACTTAATTACATAATAACCAAAAGTAGCTGTACTTCTGGGCATATTTTAAACTGGAATATTTGGGGCCAGGGAGATGGCTCAGTGGAATAAGCACTTCCCTGGCAAACGCAAGGGCCTAAGTTCGATCCCCAGTTCCGCCCAAAAAATAAGAATAATAAATAAAATAATCTGGAAAATTTAAATGTAACCTGGCATGGTGGTGCATACCTGCAATCCTAGCAGAGGAAGGCTGAAGCAAGAGGATGAATGACCCTGCAACCCAAGGAGATCCTCCCTATCTCAAAAGCCTAGGGATGTAATTCAATGCAAAGTCCATGAATTCAATCCCAGTATACAAAAACAAAATAAAGTCAGATAAAAGGTCCTTTCACTTTACTAAGTGAATTCCTTTGTCGACCTAAAGAGTCACCTGTTTGCCTCTCTAGTTATAAATTCCAAAAGGAATGGATTAAACTATGCAAAACTGCAAACGATCATGGAAAGGCTTTAACTGGGTGACTCATACTTCGTATTTTTAAAAAATTTATTTATTCATTGGATAGGGGGTCTCCCTACACAGCTCAGATTCAGTGATCCTGTCTCAGCCTCCCCAGTGATGGGATGATAGGCATGCGTCACAATGCTGGTTTTGGGGCCAGCATGGGTGAGCTTGGGATTCCAGGGCCAGCACAGTATGTGGTACATGAGATCAAACTCGGGTCCTCGCACTTGCCAGGCAGGTGCTATCTCCCCAGCCTAACTTTGTATTTCTTCAACATTTAATGATTACCAAACAAAGAGGAAAGGCTATATAAAATCTCTCTTCGACGTTGAATAACATCTGTCTTAGGTAGAGCAGAGTTCTTAATGCTCCTCAGTAGCATCCTCTGTAAAATGGACCTACTTAAATACCTTTTACTTACACTGTTGCCAGTCTTAAACAAGAGGAAACATTTGAAACAGATTTATCGGTTTTCTCTTTCACTAAATTTCTTCCTTCTTCCACCTAAACACAAAACCGAAGCCAATCTATATCTTGTTTGTTGCTATATTCCCAGAACCTAGAGTGATTTTTTTTTTTTTTTTTTACTTAAGAGATGGTTTAATTAAAAGGGAGAGATTGTTCAATAAATATTAAATGGAGTACAAAATGCCTGGTGCGAAAAAAGTTGGCTGTTATTGTTATTGTAATGAAAAACAATTAAAATTTTATTGTTATTAAGCGATATCACCCCTTCCTCCTCCCAAGGATCTCATAATTTTAGGTGGAACACAAGATATTAGAACATTGAGATAGAAGTAAAAATAACGATTGACCCCCTACAGTGGGGCTATCCGACGAGAAAAATAAAAACCTATAAACAAATCCACGACCCGAGCCCAATTTCGGACTTTTCCGAGTAAGGTTCACAAAGAAGGAAACTAAACCGCGAACAATGACAGTTTTCTTGCCTGTGTACGTGCCAAGATCTGTACCAAGCCTTGTGCGGACCTCACTAACCCAGCTGCTCTAGAGGACTGCAGGCAACTCCTCACAGCCCCATTCTCCAGACGCGGTAACTGAGATTCGGGGAGAGCCAAGGTCACAGACATCTGGTGGGGGAGCCGGGACGCGAGCCAGGCAGTCCCCGCCCGCGCCGCTCACCACAGGCCCCTCCGAGGTCACCCGCGCCTCCCAACACCTCCCACACGTCTCTCCAACGCTGGGTTGTGTACTACGTGTTTCTCCGAGCCGGACTTGTGGCCCCAGTCCAAGAACAAAACAATACTTGTCCGGGGCACGTCAGTGGACGCGCGCCGGCCTGGCTTCGAGGCCGCGGTCCCCACAGCGTCTCCACACCGCGAGCCGCGAGCCCTCTGGTGCCGCTGGAAGCAGCGGGGTTGGCTTCAGGGACCCGCGAAGGCCCAGGCTGGCGCGTGACCTTGGACCCGCCGCTCTGCCTAGGGCCTCAGTTTCCCCATCTCGGCCTCGCGCGTGGCGGGGTGGGGGTCCCTCTCAGGAGCCTCGAGGCACGCGAAGGCGCTGCAGGCCCCTCACACGCCCCCCTCAGCTGCCCGCCTTCCCGCCCCGCTTACGCTGGAAAGCGGCCGCTCCAGGGACGCCTACCATCGCACGACGTCGCCAGCGGCGCACCGCCCGCCTCGGTCCACAGCCCGAGTTCCTCGCAGGCGCCGCCGCGGGAACTGCAGACGTGAGCCTCGCAAACACCAACGCCGCCGCGTTTTCCTCCACTGCCGTTAGGCCGCGCACCACCCCGCCCCCCCCCCGCCCCGCCCCGCCCCACCCGCGGGACACGCCCCCGCCGCGCGCTCTCGCAGCCTGACCAACGCACGCGGAAGCCCTGCCCCAAGACCAGCTCCTGAGAAAACCCCGCCCCCTGACCCGCCCCTTCCGTGCAAACCTATCGCCCTATCCCGGTGCACTCTGCGTATCAGACCCACCCCCTGCGTCAAGCGCCCGTCACGAGCAGGGCGGATCTTTCAGACTTGGACTTCCGGATAGGCTACAAGTGGCACAACGACGCGAATGCGGAGCCTAAGAGTGGGTGTTGGAGGGAGGGAAACTGCCTCACCTGAGTTTTCTGTGTAGGGGACTGATTGCTTTTATGTGAGTCCATGGGGAAATTGCTTTCTGTCTTCGCCCTACAGCTTTCTAAATGTCTAAAATGGCATTATAATATTACTATTAGCTATCATTTTTTTTTTTTTTTTTTTTTTGAGGAACCAGGGATTGAACTCAGGATCTTGCACTTGTCAGGGAAGCGCTAATTCCACTGAGCCATCTCCCTGGCCCTTAGCTATCATTTTTAAGGTGTTTTTAAAATGGGGATCTCACTATGTTGCTCAGGCTGGTCTCTTAAGACATGGGTATAAGTGATTGATCCTCTTGCTCAGCCTTTAGAGAATCAACAGGTGCGCGGCAGCTGTCATATTGAGATTTTTATCTCGTTTGGGTGCTGTTTTTATGCACTCTGTAATCATCACAAGCATGTGCCAGATCCTGATTCAATCCCAAGTACCACAATTTTAGAAAGAAAGTAATTTAATTCACTCGGATGGCTTGTGCACTTCACTGTGCTTATCTGCAGCCAGGGCTGACAGACTGCAAACCTCATAGGAGTAAGATAAAGAAATTCTGTAAGTTAGAACTGAAGAAGACACAAATACAGGAGAAAAATCCACCGTCTTCAAAAGAAATGACTGGTCAATCCCCGGTTCCGAAAAAAAAAAAGAATAGAAAGAAAGGAAGGAAGGACTAAACAGAAGAAAAAAAAAAAAAAAACAAACAAACTGAATCCTGACGAGGCTTGTCCACCATTATGTGCCCCTGCATTGCACTTGCCAGGCAAGCCTCATTCTATGGAGCCATGTCCCCGGCCCCAACACTGCGTTCTTAACTGCTTATTTCAACTCTTCTAACTTTTTCCACATCAAAGAATGGAGAACTACGGAAGACAACTTGTTTGCCTACCTCTTACCTTTGCCTTGCTGGCTGTCAGGGATGGAAAAGAATTTAGACTTTAGTGAAAAAGAAGCTTGGGTGGGATGAAGGTAATGATGTAATCCCAGCTGGTCCCGAGGGGGTCTTGCAGCTTTAAGTCAGAATGGCCTTTTGTTTCTGTTTCAAATGATGGGGGGGGGGTGCACTAGGGTTATAGCTCAGCAGGTACAGCACCTACCTAGTAAGCACAAGGTCCTGAGTTCAATTCCCAGTACCAAAAATAATAGTAATCAAATGATTTTAAAGCTGGGCCCCCGGTTCCGCCAAAAAAAAAAAAAAAAACCAGGTTCCGCCAAAAAAGAAAATAAATAAATAAAAATAAAGCTGGGCATGGTGGCACAGGCCTGTAACCTCAGCACTTGGGAGGCTGAGGCAGGACAGTTGTTGTGAGTTCCAGACCACCCTGGGCTACATAGTGAGCTCAAGGCCAGCCTGAGCTGCATACCAAGACCCTATCTCAAAAAAACCAAAACAAAAACATTTTAAGGCCGGGGATAAAGCTCAGCAGTATGCTATCTGCCTGGCAAGCACAAGTCCTGACTTCAATTCCTAGTACCAAATAAATAAAATGGCAAATTAAAATCATAAAATGCCTATGATCCCAGAACTTGGGAGGGTGAAGCAGGAGGATTGTCCCAAGTTTGAGGCTAGCCTTGGCTACACAATGAGTTCCAGCCCAGCCTGAACTACATAGCAAGACCTTGTCTCAAAAAAAATTTTTTTTACCCAGGTGCAGTGGTGCCCACCTGTAAACCCAGCAGGAGGCATTAGAATTGGTGGGAATTTGAGACCAGCATGGGCTACAAAGTGAATTCAAAGCCAGCCTGAACTGCACAGCAAGACCTTGTATATATCTAAAAAAGTTAATTACTGGGGCTGGGGAAATGGCTCAGTGGAATAAGCGCTTCCCTGGCAAGCACAAAGGCCTGAGTTCAATCTCTGGTTGCGGGGGAAAAAAAAAAAAAATTACTGGAATGGACAATTTTTAATATACAAAAAAAGGTTTAAAGACTTTGTGGTTTTTAAAAAAGGTTCAAAACGTTTTTAGGGTTTTTAAAAAAAGGTTTAAAAGCTCAGTGGCATGGTGCCTGCCTGGCAAGTGTGAGGTCCTGAGTTTGATTCCCAGTACCCAAGAATAAAAATTTTTTTAAAACTAAAAAATGGGCTGGGGATACAACTCAGTGGCATAAGTGCCTGACTGGCAAGTGCAAGGGCCTGAGTTCAATCCCCAGTACAAAAAAAAAACCAAGAAAACAAAACCCTAAAAAAATGTATTGAGGTGTATTTTATGTACAGTGAACTACATTGTAATGTAGAGGCTACAATTTGGTGAGTTCTTTTTCTTTTTCTTTTTTTTCTGTACCTGGGATTTGACCTCAAGCTTTCACCTTGAGCCACATATCCAGTTCTTTTCTTTATTGAGAGAAAGAAAGCTCTGGTCCAAGAGAGGGACTGGAGTGGGGGGCCCAAGCAGGTAGTTCTACCCCGAATATGTATTTTATGCTTTTTTTTTTTTAATTTTTATTTGTGTGTGTGTGTGTGGCCAGCTCAGCCCACCAGGGGGCGGGGCTGGCTGGCATGTGGTGCTGGGGGATTGAA